ATTCCCACATGGCTTGGGACCCAACTGAGTACCAGATCATCGTGGCGAGACAGAAGATTATGAATTAGGTTTTGATAGTACAGGACTGAGAAAGGCCTATTTGATGTTTGGAAAGAACCAAGGTAATGGTTCTGAGGAAATTTCTGGAAATGAAACTGGATTCCACTGGAAATGTCGCCAAAAGAGTGGTACATACTACGAGGTCATGGTAGATCTATTAGGCATCAATAGGTAGCAGCTGAAGAGGGTGGAACTAAACCAAAAAGCTGACTCCGATTCAAGAGAATAGAAAATAAATTAGTGCAAGAAAATCTGCAATTCTATAACATCACTGATTCGATTAATTAATGATTTAAAATACTTAAAAAAATATATTTTCATCACGTTTGCCCATTCTGGTTCCCCTTAAGGGATACAATAAACCCTAAAAAATTTCTTTCTACATAGAATATTACAATTTAAGAATTACAGAGAAATTCTATCTATACACTTCGCACTTATACTGTTTTCACGTTTACACTTTTTTTTTACCAGTTCTGGATAAATTCCTATAATTCCCATGCTGAATTCTTTCCGATATGCGTTTTACGATTTTTCACGCATATTTTTCTCACATACGTCCATAACAAAAAATCCTTTAAGACCGTATAACATTCAAATGCTCCCGCAGAGGTGAACTGTAGAGGGTAACTGCGCCGAGTGCCCGGATTTTTTCCTCGAGTCGGCACGCTCCAGAGCGCTCCCGCGGAGCGACGTCTTAGCCTCGGAGGCGACTTCCCGTTAATGAAACTTGTAATATAAGGGAGTTTGTGCACCCACAGACGTTAAAGCACTATAGATCTGTTTTAGCACAAATGATCGATAGTGCTGTCCGTTATGGCCTGCACAAGCTCTCTACAGAAGCTCGACTCGGCCTCTAGCTGACTGGCCAAGACCGCGCGAGCCCGCCGAGCGCAAAATCGGCTCCCGTGCCACCCGGCAGCGGGACTTCGAAAAATTTGAGTTGCTGTGAAATGGGAACTGCTGACTGAATAAATTTAATTTCCGAGAAACCTATAATTTTTTAACAGTTTCAATCACGCAACGCAGTTTAAATATAACATTTTAAATAAAAACGTTGTATGTAAATTTACAGTTAATTTTGATACTTTAGAGATAAATTTATAGATATTTTAAGACTTAATCATGGAACATGCATTACTGTACCCAATAGGCGAATCATAGTATTAAACATAATAAAACAACAGACTTTTTCATTAGTAATATTTTAAACTGCATAAAGAATTTTTTGGTAATATTTTTTTTAATAAAACTGTAGAGTAAAAATATTGAGATATTATTTTGCTCA